GTCCCGGCTCGACCCGCTTCACCTTCCGGACGGGGCGGCAGGTTCCCCGCCTGGGGGTGATGCTGGTGGGCTGGGGGGGCAACAATGGGACAACGGTGACAGCAGCTGTGCTGGCCAACAAGCTGGGGCTGTCCTGGATGACCAAGACAGGGCGCAAGGTGGGTGACTGTGACCATCACCATGGCACGGATGAGGATGGTGACACAGCTCAGCTGCTCCCATCTCCACCTGGGTCCTGCAGCTCCATCTCCCTGGCTTTGTGGAGATGGTCTGTAGCCCTGGCCCCTGGTGTAGGGGTGCTGGGGACCCCCCCCCACCCTCCCAATGCTGATGGTTCATCCTTGTGTTCTCCACCCTAGAAAGCCAACTACTATGGCTCCCTGCTCCAAGCCTCCACCGTCTGCCTGGGCACCAGCCCCACTGGGGATGTCTACGTGCCTTTCCGGGACCTGCTGCCCATGGTGCACCCCAACGACATCATCTTTGATGGTAGGTGGGACACAGGGGGACCCTTCAATGGGACAGTTGGACTTGGTGATCTTAGAGGTCTTTTCCAACCATGACAAGCGATGCTGAGCAGTTGGGTCACCTCTTGTCCCCCAGGCTGGGACATCTCCTCACTGAACCTGGCGGAGGCCATGAGGCGGGCGGAGGTGCTGGACTGGCCCCTGCAGGAGCAGCTCTGGCCCCACATGGAGAAGATGAGGCCTCGACCCTCCATCTACATCCCCGAGTTCATCGCTGCCAACCAGGAGGAGCGGGCGGACAACGTCCTCCGGGGGTCCATGGCTGAGCAGGTGCTGGCGGGGGTGGGTGGTGGGACAGAGGTGACAAGGGGGGATGCCACCGTGCTGATGCCTCCCCCCCCCACCCCGGTGTGTGACATCCCCAGGTGGAGCAGATCCGCAGGGACATCCGGGACTTCAAGGAGACCAGTGGGGTTGACAAAGTCATTGTCCTCTGGACGGCCAACACGGAGCGTTTCTGTGATGTGGTGCCCGGGCTCAACGACACCGCGGACAACCTGCTGGGGGCCATCGAGGTCAGGGGACAGGGGAGGGCTTGGGGAGGGGTGACAACACCACCCTGCTAGAGCTGAGCCACCCGGTGTCCCCACAGAGAGGCCTGGAGGTGTCGCCCTCCACGCTCTTCGCCGTGGCCAGCATCCTGGAGGGCTGTGCCTACATCAACGGGTCCCCCCAGAACACCTTCGTGCCGGGGGCGGTGGAATTGGCCGCTCAGCGCCGCGTCTTCATCTGCGGGGACGACTTCAAGTCGGGTCAGACCAAGCTCAAGTCGGTGCTGGTGGACTTCTTGGTGGGCGCGGGACTCAAGGTAGGTGGGGATGGGCTGGAGATGGAGTGGTGACCTGCCCATGATGATGGGTGGTGACCTGCCCGTGACGATGGGTGGTGACCTGCCCGTGTTGATGGGGGGTGGCCGTGTTGATGGGTGGTGACCTGCCCGTGATGATGGGTGGTGACCTGCCCGTGACGATGGATGGTGACCTACCCGTGATGATGGGTGGTGACCTCCCCGCACCCCCTGCCCAGACCACGTCCATCGTGAGCTACAACCACCTGGGGAACAACGACGGGAAGAACCTCTCGGCCCCGCAGCAGTTTCGCTCCAAGGAGATCTCCAAGAGCAACGTGGTGGATGACACGGTGCAGGCCAACCCTGTCCTCTACGGCCC